TGAACCGCACAGCCCCCAGCCGTGACACGGCCCCTGAGCTCCAGAAGAGGTTCAGCTGCTCCATGCAGGAGCTGGGTAGGGCAGCCTCGGCTTACTCGGACGGTGAGGAGTCTGCACAGAGCTGCAGCTGGACCGTGAGCCGGGACTCAAGCGTGGACACAGACAGCACCGAGTCCAGAGCCCGCAGGAGCCATTTCTCCTCAGACTATGGTACAGATTTCTCCCAGGATGAAGCCCAGAAGCTATTGCAGGAAAGCAGTGGAGGCACTGCTGAGCCTGGAAGCCCCTCACCGGAGAAGCACAAGGACTATGTGGACCTTGGCTTGCCTGAGAGCCTAGCTGAGGAGAGAGAAATGTTGCTCCAGGGAAGCAAGGAGAGCAACCAAGGAGGTGCCCAAGAGGAAAGTGGAGAAGGCAGGGTCAAGCCTCCCTTCAGTCGGCCACACCGCAGCCCCAAGAGGATGGGGGTCCACCACTTACATCGCAAGGACAGTCTGACGCAAGCCCAGGAGCAGGGCAACCTTCTCAGCTGAGGCAGGGCAAGAAGCAGCCACACGCTGCAGAGCTGTGGGATGCCTCCATCTGTCCACCTTCTGAGGGAGAAATCTCCCTTAGTGCCCTCCTCCGGGGGGGGCTCTGCTCTGAAATTTTATATTTATTCTCTTCTTTTGCTACCTGGAAGAGCTGGGGTCCCCTTCCCCAGCACCTCAGACCCACAGTACTAGCACACAGTGTGCAGAAGCACACCCGCTGCCCTGGCACACTCGCAGCTCTCTTCACAGCCTCACACTGGTGCCTGTACCGGAGCTCGTTCTTGGTACCCCTCGTCCTGGTGCCTGTGCCTCTTTATGCTCACATCTTCCTTCCCCCTTCCCACTCAGGTACCTGAGGCACTAGGTACTCTCATGCTGGTTGCCCACAGCTGCTCTGCTCTCTTTTAACTTGTGCCAACAGGGCAGAGTGCCTGCGAGGTGGTGTCTGATTCTTGGGAGCCTGCAGGGGCCGTGAGTGGGGCACGAGGGCTCTCCCAGCAGATGGCTCTAGGCCCTTGGGGATATGCTGGGATTGCTGGTGTCTCATTTTCCTGCTGGGTTTTGTTTTCTCCAGCTGCCCTCTGGGTGGTTCTCCAGAATCTGCCTCTGCAGGTCCCCATCGCTTGGCTCCTGCGTCGGGCTCGGCACCAGGGCCCTGCTGAGGCAACGCACGGATGCTGGTGCTGTGGCATGGGGCACTGGTGCCGTCTGCCGAGGCGATTCGGGGAAGCACTGCCTGCTAGGCGCTGGGGTTTGTGTTTGTGTGTCTCCTCCCTCACACTTCTTCCCCCGCTCTCTGTGCTGTTGTTTTGTTTGAATGGTGCTGATGCTTTGCTCTTGGGTGGGCTTCTTTCTTCTTTCCAAGCCTTTGGTTTTGGGGTGTATTGTTTTTTCTTTCTCCCCGCCCTGCATAAACAGACACAGCCGTTGGCAGCCGGTCCAATGCCCGTGTTGAGGGTGTGTTGAGGAGGCTCAGCTCTCAGAGCTGCGCTTCCTCTGATCCTGGCCTCCAGCCTGCAGAAACCCCTCCAGCCTCAAGAACAAGGTCTCGCCCGGGGCAAGCAGGGCGTGAAGGACGCTACTGGGCTTTTCTGGGCAGGGCTCGGTGCAGGGCTGGCAGGGATGCGAGAGCAGTGGGCTGAGGAGCTGCTCCGTGTAGACGCACTACCTCACGGCTCAGCAGCAGCCCTTTGCTGGGGTCTCCTCACATGCCCCCTTCTCCGGGGGGCTCCAGGCTGGCTCTGGTGCCTCTCCGGGGCCTCCCCTTCTGGGCAGGGCCTCTCTGCGTGTTTTTCCTAGTGTAGTGTGATACTGTGTGACTTTTCTTCTCAGTCTTGTGTGCTCGGTGTCTTGTTGGGAGGGGAGGGAAGGGGAGAGGTCTGTAGATGTAGGGTTTTGGGGTTTTTTTTTTTTGAGGGCGTACAAAGCCCAGGCATCCTGTTTTAATTTTGTCCTGTGCCCTCGTCTGTCTGGTGTTTCTTGACTCCCCCAGGGGCGCAAGGCAGAGAATAGTCTGGTTCCCTGCGCTGTGCCCCCCTCAAACCTCGCTGCCTGTCCTCAGCCTGCTGTCTGGTTTTTGAGTTGGGTTTGTGTTGTCTTCCCACCCTACTCAATGAGGGCTCTTCACTGGGCTGTAGGAGGGCAGCCCTCTGTCCAGGAGGGAGCTCCCGTTCATATGCTTACAGCAAGATGTGCAGCCAAGAGCTGCCTGGGGGCCCTGCTCCCCTCCCCAACCCCCTGTCTCCGCAAAGGGCCTGCAGCTTGCAGCTGGGGCCAGCCAGGGCTTCAGCTCGAGCCTGGAGGCTCCAGGGCCTGTGAAAGGGAGCTGCAGGCCTCTCTGGCGGCCGTGTAGTTTGCTTTATGTACTGTGGCTAGAGCTGCTGCCTACACGCTTGCCTTGTTTCCCACCTCGAACAGTTGTGGAGTTGGATGCCACCCTCTGGCAGGGAGGTGGGACTCAGTATTTCACTACAGTATTTTGCATGATACCTGTGCAAACAGGCTGGTGCTGAGAGCAGGAGCCTCCTCTGAGCCTGCAGGGTGTTCATCTCCCTGTCCTGAACGCGGTGGTGGGGTCCTTGCATTTGCTCTCATCTGCCACTCCACTGCTGCATTTCTTCTGTTCTTCTGCAGTGTTCGTTGCTGAGGGCTTGCACCTGCAGCGGCTGCCAGCTCCTGCCTCACGGACATCACCTGGGGTTGGATGCTCACTGAGTGAGCTCTTCTGGCTCTGAGCCTGCTGGTGGCCTGCCTGTGGGACAGCACAGCCACTTGGGCAGTGGGGGAGACATTGCCCCTCAGGGCTCAGCCCCATCTCCCCCGAATCCTGGCATGCTGGTGAGGGGACAAAACCCACTCTTGCTGAAGCAGCTGGTGCTGGTGGTGCTGGGCAGAGCCAGCCTCTCTCTGCTTTTGGTTAAGGTAGACTTAAAAGCAAAACAGTGGAGAAACAGAGGGGTGGCAAAGGGGTGCCCAGTGCCTCACCAGACACTTCTGCTTTGCAGCATTAGGCTGCTGGCAGAGGTTGAGGTGGAGCGGTGGCCTCCAGAGGAGCAGGGCCCTCTCCCGGTGGGCACGCTGCCTGCCCTCTGCACTCCGGCTCACCCCCTGCAGTATTAGCTCTGGGGCCTTGAGCTGACCCCACTTTCAGTGTCCCAACTCCAGACTGTTAATCTGTAATTAATGTGTTTTTTTTCTGAAATTTTCAAACTGATGTATATTTTAAGACCAGAAATAAACTATTTTAAAAGTAGGTGGCAATGGCTATAGTGTTCTCTCTGTTGGTTAAGACCTGGACCAGACCAATGCTGAGCATGTGAGGGACCAGAGCCTCTCATGGTACAATGTCCCAAGTTTGCTGGAATGCGTGTGCCACCCATTAGCTCCCCCAGGGAGAGCAATCCTGTGACCTGTAAGCTTTCCAGGAGGCTGTGAATTCACCGGTCATCCTGAGTGCCCGGCAGCAGCCTGGTTCAAGGTGCTTGTGCAAATGAAATCATCTGTGTGGGGGGAGAGGTGGAGTCTCAGGCAAGGAGTGATGTGTGGGATGAGCGGTGTTTTACTTCTATAATTGTATCCAAGCTCTGGAAACTGCTCTCTGGCTCTGAATGTAGACTGTCAGCTCAAAGATCAAACCAGGCCTACGGACCAGAACCCGTTGTTCACAGCAGCGCTTGTGTCACTTCTGACTCTGAAGCTGACAGCAGCTTAAAAAAGGGCAGATTATTTAACCAGGCAACTTTGAGAAACGTTAACAAACAATGTGGGCAATTTTCACATTACTTAAAGGCTAGGCTTGTCAAAACCTCTGCAATGAAGCTTGTTGTGCTGTAAGCAGCCTGTTACTCATAAAATTCTGCCTACGCCATTTCAACTATTTTGCTGGCTGTCCTTCTGTCTGATCTGTGTCGTGGCAAAGACCTCCACATGCTGATCTAGAGTAGGATAAGGTGTAGCTAATTCTAGTATTTGCCAGTTTTCTTGGAGCCCCAGCTCTGAGAGTCATGTGAGAGTATCAGTTCTCCATTTCAGAAACTGAGTTACGTGGGAACATGTAACATACCCGCTCCCTGCAGTTCATAAGAGTTTTAAAATTCTAGTGTCGGTATTTTCTGTTTTTATTTTGTGTGGGGAGGGAGGATGGGGGTTGATTGGGCATACCCCAGATAGGAAGCCCTCCAGACGTGAGAGAGAGGGAGCTCCTGTAGGATGCCGATATGGACATGTGGAAGCGTTTCCTTTTCATGTTGAATGGTGCTGCAGAGGTCAGAGGGCTGTGTTGAAATTTTCTCCATTGCCCAAGTTACGCTGCCTGTGCCCTTCTGACCTCGGTGTATGCAAAGTGCAACAGAGGAAGAGTTTCTTGTTTCTTTGTCCCCATAATTAATGATTTTATTCTGTGTTCCCTTGAGTAGCAGCTGCTGCCACAATTTAATCTTCCAGCCTAATCCGAGCCGTGAAATACAATCTTCCTTGCCTAGCGCCAGCAAGGGGCACTTGGCCGAGCAGTGAAACCTGCGGTGCTGGTGCGGGACGAAGCCTTCACCAGAGGGTGCGCGGCCGCTGCCAAGCTCCCTGCAGACGGGCTCTAGCCCAGCCCTCTGCCTCCCGGGCAAGGGGAAAGGCCTGGGGGCCAGCAAATTGGGCCATGACCGGCTTCCCTCCAGGGCCGGGCGAGCATCGCGGGGAGCCCGCCTCTGCGAGGAGGGAGGCGGCGCAGCACGGGCCCTGCAACATCAGTAGAGGTGCAAAAGACCAAGCTGGAACCGAGAGCCGCTGAGAAACACGGGGGTAGAAGGCAGCGACGGTGTGTGCTGCCCCTCGAGCGGCAGCCACCCCTCCCCCCCCCCCCCCCCGGGGGCGCAGCGTGACGGAGGCTCACGCCACCATGAATGGTGCCACGTCTGTGACCTTTATAAAACTCTCATCGCAACAGCAGTACAAGCAATAGAAAGAACATCTCTTATGCACATCTGAATAAATACAGCCTGCGCCCCGCGGGAACAGCCGGGCGTGGGGGGGAGGCAGGGCAGCGTGAGCTACACATGCAGCGACGGGACAATCACAAGCGGCCGACGGAGTGCGTGACAACACAGACGTGTGTAGAGATTCGCTCGGACCAGGCTCCAGCACTCAGAGAGCCGAGGGAGGCATCAACAGGACGTGAAATGTGTGAGAAGACGGCTGGGGCAGCCCACCGGAGGCCGGGGGGGGCTGGTGGACGCACGCTCCCCCAGCGGGCACGGTGCTCTTCTCGGCAGAAGCAGGCAGGGTAGCCCAGCTACATTTCTGTTTCTGCTAAGAGGCTGTCACCGAGACCTGACGTCATCAGGACCATCTGGGAGCTGGAATCTGCGGTGAGAGAGGGAGAAAACCATGAGCCGTCTGGGCTGCCGGAGAGCGCGGAGCTGTACTCCAGATCCAGAGGTGAGGATGAGGAATTAGAGCGCCGCAGGGTGGGAGGCGATCTGCTGAGAGGATTGCGAGATTAAGTAGTAACTAGGTCTGCTCTGGCCACGCAGCAGAACAGAATCAATGTTTGGGGAGGAGGGAAGGCAGAGACAGCAGCAAGGGGCCAGGGTGGGGATCTGCATTTGTTGTCTTGGCTGTCAAGAGGAACATCAGCTCTGAACCCTCCCCACACACACTTGCAGGTGATACTGGTTGTGCTGACCCAGTGCCGCCCTTACGCAGCCCTGCACAGACCTTTAAACCTGCACTCACCGAGTGTCTTTTTTCAGCCAGAGAGACAGCACCCAGGTGGGACAGGCTGGCAGGCTGCAAGCCGACTGAACCCACGCAGGGTGGTGATGTTGCCTTCCCAAGAGCAGGGAACGCAGCGGGCAAGCAGCCATTTCATGGCAGCAGAAGCCTGGAAATCCTGACTTTCTGTGCTGCATGAATGGAGGGTTTGTGCAGCCCTCCCCTGCCTGCCTCAGGAAGGTGAGGGCAGCTTGCTGGCTCTGCAACGGCACGGAGCGCCAGCCAGGAATGCTGCGACTCTCCCCACGCCAAGTGAATCAGCTGCAAGGAGGATGGGCATGCATAGCAAGTAAGAATCTCAGCAGGGTACCAGTTTCCCATCCAGAAGCTTTTTTAAACAGAAAAAAATTTGATTTTTTCCTGGATGTGAGGGAGGAGCTCCTTAGTGCCCGTGTGCTTCAGATCCAGAGTCCTACACATTCAAAACTGCTGCGTGGAATCTCTGTTATGGGGATCAATTTCTGGAAACTGGATCCAAAACTTGGCCAGAGCTGTCAGTAAACGATTTTTATGGCTCTAATAAATGAGGATCCAGATGTTTTGAGGCCCAGGGAGTGGTTGTGCTTGTCTTCTGCTAGTCTGATATGAGAACTGGGAGCGGGGAAGGACAACTAAAGGTAAAATATAAAAACCCAAACCAGCAGGATCACAAGGTAGGCATGACAATATACAATATCATATATACAAACAATACACAACGGGTTACTGCTGTCTCCATAATATACCTTTTTTTCTGTTACAAGCAACAGACAGGCTTTGGCACCTGGCTAACCCTTCACACGTTTGGGATGCAGAGATAGGCATAGCTGATGCTGTGCAGATTTCAGGGAGGTTCTGGAAGCAGTGAGGAATGACATGAGTTTTGGCTAGGATATCTGGCAAAGGCCCCTGAGATCTTTAATGCTCCTGCCCTTGAGTTTTAAGACTTTGCACAAAGATTTCGTTCCTGCAGCATCAGGGAAAACGCCTCTGAGGTACCGTTTCCACTCTTTGCAGCAGCTGCATTGTCCTTGGAGGCTGCCTTTCCCAACGCTATTTAACACGAAGGTCACGCCTGGAGGCTGTCTGGATTCCTGTTCACAGGGAGAAGGGACAGACCCCATTCACCAACCCCACCATGAGAGATCAGTGGCCCTGGAAACACCCCAGACACCCCAACTTCTGTCTGTCAGCCCCTGCCCACAGCCCAGGTCCCAGAGCTCTTACTGTTCTGGCAGATCCAGGGGTTCTTCTCCCTGGCTGTGACTTCACGAGCCTCCGTCTCCTCCTCTTCCTCACCCTCTGAAAGCAGGTCAGAGATCTGCTGCTGCAGCTCGGGACTAATGTTGTTCTCCGCCAGGATGAGTGTCCGTAGGGCTGTGGGGTAATTCTCTACCATGTCCAACAAGGTCTGGGTGGAGAGCAAGATAAACATGCTGACAAGCAGCACAGACAACAGCTAGGCTGAGCAGAAAGACCTTCATTGCTCTGTCTCCCTGCAAACTCCATCCCTCCTCTTCTTACCTCTGCCTTCCCTTGGCCTTGACCTCCCTTTGCCAGGCTTTCTGAGAGCCCAAGGACTTCCCATCTTTCTGTAGGAAGAACTGAGCCTGGATTTCCTGGCTCTATCTAAAGAGGAAGGGGCTGCTCTACACCCTGTTGCTGCCACATATCCAGGCTAGTCCCCTCTTACCACTGGGAGCTGGGGCTCTGAGAGGAGAGCCTGTGCTGCCAAGCCTTGGCCCCTATCTGTCCACAGAACTTTAGCTCTGCTCCTCAGTCACAAGTCCAACCCCTTACGTCTTCCAAGAAAACCAAACTACAAATGTGTGTTTTTCCCTGCTGACTTGAGGAGCCCTGGGTCAGAGCTGTAGCTTATGAGCTCCTCCTGCGGCCGAAGGCAACGGGCCAGGGGAAAGCAACAGCACCGCTGGGTGCGGGGAGGGAAGGGGGTGCATGTGGACTCGGGGAGGGGGTGCAGGCAGGTATAGGTCCTAGGGCCTCTATAGATGGCCAAGACCTATGCCCCTGAGACATCAGTCATGCTGTAGAGTAACTGTAGGCTCTCATACCTGGGCTGACTGGTTGGTAAGTCCCGTTCCCTCCAAGTCCAGAACTTCGAGGGTTCGACTGGAGGCCACAGCGACAGCAAGCATCCCTGCTACCTGGTCACCTGTGGGAGAAGCAAACTGGGGCTGTCAGCAGTGCCTGCCTTCCCTCATGTAATACCACATGCCCTCACGGGCCTCGGGCTGTCATGGAAACATCCTCTGAGTATTTCTGCCATCAGACAACCTCCAAATCTCAGTTACCTTGGGGGGAAAAAAAAGCTGTTAACTGAGAAAAGAGACAAGGTAAAGGTGCACCATTTTGTGGTTACGGGAGGAGTCACTGACTATCAGGGGGAACATGAAGGAACACAGTGAAATTGTTTTTATTCCCCAAGGACCTATATCTTCCCAAATCTCTTTCCTACTCAAGGATGTGAGGGCCTTTAATAGTCCCTGTAAGCATCCCAGACGCAGAATAAAGAGCTGAATACCTCAGCCTAGGGGAAGGTTGGAGCCGGACAGAGGACTGCACCAGCTGACGGACTGCTTCCCTGGAAAGGGGCAGACTTTTGGGGGTGGACGCAGCAGGACCAGGAGCATTAAAGATTGATGCTGGTGAAGAGACAAGACTCCAGCGTGTTCTCCTGACATTCCCTGGCGAGTGCCAAGATGCCATACAATTGTGACACCTTCTCTTGGAAAAAAAAAAAAACAGGCTGCTGTCAGATAACACCCCGGGGCCTTTCCTGCCCAAGAGGAGGCACCTGGTGAGGTAGACAGGGCCTGGAGGGAGGCTCTGTTTCCAGACAGGGTGAGGAGGGGAGCGCCCTGCTGATGCTCAGGGAGGCATGGCCCAGTCTCCTCCTCACCACCTTGCAGCAGAGCTGGAGAGAGTTGGTTTCTATGGCAACGAGTGCCAGGCTCTCCTCCTCCTCCCTGCTCCACTTGGAAGATGAAGGGGGGAGCGTGGGGACACACTGCATCTGCCAACCCAGCATCGGCGCCCAGGGCTTCAGGAACAGGGAAGACATGGAAGGTCAAACATGACGACAAAGGCGGTGGAGCGGGCAAGGCACAACCTCCTTTCTGCACCTCCCCGCAGGGCAGGTGGCCACCTCACGCAAGCAGAGCAGCCAGGCTGGCCTTCCCTACCGCCGAGGGCGCCCGGCGGGGGAAACTCGCTGCTGGGGACCAGAAGGGACCTATGCAAGAAACTGCCCCATCCTGCTGGTGATACTCTGCCACCCTTCTAGAGCTCGGTTCCCGGCCACCCACCAGCACGAATCGCACAAATGCTGAGAGGCAGGAGTGCAGCGTCCCCTGCTCCTCCCCCCTGCCCCCCCCCAGCTTACCTAGAGGGTTGTAGTCCAGGTTCAGCACGCGGAGCTGCGAGCTGTGAGCCACTGCAATGGCCAGGCGTCCCCAGCCTTTGCTTGTGACGCCTGGGTTGGCGCTCAGCGTTAGCTCTTTGAGGCCTGGAGAAAAGAGAGAAGCCAAACCAGAGCCTTAGGGTCACCAAAGCAGTCTCAGGGGAACTGGTTCAGCTAACCAGAACAGCTTTGAGTTGTGTCCCCTGTACTCCGATGGGCTAAAGGGTTTGGTTTGCTCTGACAACTGTCATCACATATTTCACTGATCAGTGAAATATTTCACTGCCTTCAGCAGTAGCCCTTCATTTGCCCACGCTGTGACTTCCCCATTTCTCTGCTCTCCCTACCTGTGTCCTCCTTTCCTTACCCTAAATAGCAAACACAATGGAAACAAGTAAGGGGTGTGCAAGGTGACTGCCTGTGAGAAGGAGGTGGCACAAGGTGACAGGTTGGAAAGAGGCTAACGGGGACAGTAGGCTCTGAAGCCTGCACCTGGGAGGGGTGGCCAGCAGAGATAACAGCATCAGTGGTACTGTGAGCACACAGGGGAGAAGGTGCTGGGGAGAGGTGGAAAGCACTTTGAAAATCAGGAGAGAGGGGTGGTGTTACCTCAGCACATGCCAGCTCTCAGCTTAACTGGCCCACTGGCCTCTGAACACCAAAGATCATCCCCTGCAAAGATCTGAGTCTTGGCACTAAGGCTACGACCATGCAACTACACACTCACAGAGCGCACCCGCAAGCGGGGGCAATTCCCAGGCACTGACAATAAAGCCAAGTACTGAGGTGGGGGAACACCATACATTTATCTACAGTCATTATCAACACGCAAATGCAAAATAATAAATTCAAAGTCCAAGCTATCCCCTCCTCCAGTTTCAAATGCTCCTGTCATGAACCAGAAGCAACCTGTTGGTGCCTGAGCTCCAGACTGCCAGCAGGACAGATCAATAGCAGAAAGCCCATGCCTGCCTGAGGGAACCGCTTCTCTACTGCTTGGCTTTTCTGCTTTACTTAAGTTGGGGAAAGAAATTCCTCAGCCCAAACTACAGAGCCTGCCTCCTCCAGGGCTGAGGATTTACTGCTGCATGCATCTGCTCCATGTGAAGCTCCACTGGTCATTGTGCAGCCCACAACCCCTGGTGCTTACCGGACTTGGCCCCGTCAGGCGGCAGGAGCCCACAGATAAGGTTGATGCCTTCATCACCCAGCATGCAGTCTCCTAGATCCAGAGCCACCAGCGAGGGGTGGATGGAGAGAGCAGGGTTGAGGAGGGCCAAGCCTGCATCTGTCAGGGGACTCCCATGGAGGCTGTGCAGGTAAAAGGGAAAATTACTAAGCAGCCTTTTTCCTGGGGGCTAACTAACCCGATGGGGAGGGAGGAGCAGACGAAATGAGGAGGATGACAAATCCTAACCCCAGGTGGGGAAAAAGCGCTGGGAAGTCTCTGCTGCGAGGGTCAGCCGGCCACCTCGACCCTTCCCTCCCGGCCAGGACGAGGGGGTGCAGGGGATGCCAGCGGGGCAGCCCAGGTCGGAGGGGCCGGGATGGAAAGCCAGGGCCGTGCCCTGCCGGCGAAGGCAGAGGCGGCTGCTTCCCAGCCAGGTGAAGGGCGAGGAGGTGCCCTCTGCAACGTCAAGGGCGTTTTTCCTCCGACGAGACTTAGATTCAGCGGCTGACCCGGAGCTGCGAGCCCCCGAAAGGCCCGTCCCTGCCCGGGAGGGGGCCAGGGGCACCCCCCGCAGCCCCCCGCCCCGCCGTACTCACAAGAGGGACTGGACGGAGCGGTTCGTCTTCAGGGCCTCGGCCAGCTGCTTGACGCGGTTGATGTTGGAGACGATGCCCAGGTTGAGGTTGAGCTGGGCCAGGGAGCGGGACTCGGCCGCCCCCCGGCAGACGTGCCCGAAGTCCCGCTCGGAGAGCTGGCAGCCGCGCAGCGACAGCAGCCGCACCGAGTTCTCCCGCAGGCTCTCGCAGATGTCCCGGATCTCCGCCCCCGACAGCGTCTCCCCGGAGATCTGGATGGACCCCG